GAGGCCCTGGGTTCGATTCCTCAGCACCACATAAGCAAAAAGAAAAAAGCCGGGTGTGGCGCTGTGGCTCAAGTGGTAGAGCGCTAGCCTTGAGCTGAAGAGCTGAGGGACAGCACCCAGGCCCAGAGTTTAGGCTCCACGACTGGACCAAAAAAAAAAAGTTTAGGCTTATGGACTTTACTATATCATCATGGTGAATTATAAAACAGAATAATTAAGGATCAGCTACTTCAAAGCTTTTCAAAACATTAAACATTGGCATGACTAGAACATACTGTCAATCCTAAAATGGTATCGACAGGCACATGCTTGGATTTTATCTATAAATCTTACCATTAAAAACCCTAACAAATCCTCAGCAGATACATGGCTTCTCATTACTTCTGTGAGGCTATAATACCTTCCTCAAAAATCAGAGATGAAGTTCTTGTTTTTTCTTTTTTTGGTTAGTCATGGGGCTTGAACTTAGGGCTGGAGTGCTGTCTCTTTTTGCTCAAAGCTCACACTCTATGACTTTGAGCCACAGTGCCACTACCGAATTTTGAGTGGTTAATTGGATGTAAAAGTCTCACAGACTTTGCTGTCCCAGTTAGCTTTGAACCACAATCCTCAGACCTTAGCCTCCTGATAAGCTAGGATTATGGTGTGAGCCACCAGTGCCCAGCTTAGTATATATGTCTTAATGGGTCATAGTCATTACACCCTTTAAAAAGTTGACATAATTGGGCTAGTCTGCTTCTGAGCATAAATTGACTTAAGGCTATAATCTTAAGTGATAAGTGAAAGATTAAAAATTAGAATTACATTTTACAATTGCTAACTGCTGATTTTGCCTTTGTAAACCTCCTCTCCCCCCTTTCTGGAAATAAGGAATTGAGCAAAAAGTCTCAGAGTCCAGATGCCGGCCCCGGGACAAGGTCTGTGGTCATAGATAAAGAACAAACAGGTATATGTTTTACTAGTTCCTGTTTGAAAATTCCCTAAGTGGCTAAATGGGACCCAAGATAGGGACCCAGGATAAGGACCACCTGGCAAATCCAGCAAACTAGGCCAAATGTTAATCAATCACAAGCCTGTAACTATGTAAACTCCCCTCCAGGGTGACGGCTCCCCCTAGACTTGCCCCGAGCCAACTGTTTTACAAAGAGTGTTATAAACTTCCCCGCATAGTAAAAATGATTGCTGGAGTGTATAGTGACTTTTAAATGGGCCAATCCCAGGACACCTGGTGTTATATGCTAATCTTGTGTTTTTTGCCTTTTAGAATGCCTGTAACCGCTGCTTGGGGCTCTCTCCCTTGCCGAGGCAGAGAGACCATTTGAGCAAAGGCTGAATAAACTCCTCTTGCTTGTTGCATCTACTGGTTTGGAGTCTTGGTTTCTGGGGCGCCCTCCCGTAGACGAAAGTATCCCAGGAGTCTGGGGTCTT